GCAGGATTTCCTCTAAACATATTATGTTTATTGCCTCATTTAATTCAACATTTTGATAGTCCAAGTCAGTTCTGCAAAGAAACAGCTGACAGAATAGCAAAGGTAGGTAAATAAGCAGAAATAATTCATTTTTTATTTTGTTTAGTTTTCATGGTGAAGGCAATTTGATCAAATGTGTTGTCTGTACATTCACACACACGGGTTTGAACCTGTATAGACTTTGAAAGAGTTCCGCCACTAATATTTTTCTCAGAACGCTATCCCTGAATGTCTTTCCCTCAAATCTCTTTTGGCTGGCTGCCTTAGAATCACAGTATCCAGTTTACCTTTGGTATAAGCTTTTTCCCCCCTTTTTTACTCATACTTTCTCCATCTATCATTCTTCTCCTTTTGTTTTAAAGTTCCTCAGTATTTCATCAACAGAGCCTTTGCTGTCTTAACTGTTCTTGGGTGGATGTTGTAATTGAGGAAGTCAACTTTCATAAAAAATAAAGCCACTCAAAAAGCCTCTTCTGTCGTTATGAAAGGCTCTGAGTTCATAATATCCCCACTATCATCGTTTACACCATAGACACAGCAAAAATGGGTTGTTTCACTTGCGGCGTTGACTTTAAGTCTATTTAGGTTAGCAATAAATAGATCAGATCATAAAAAGACTCCTTCAGTCAGTCAGAAATCCAGGTTCAAGCTATGGTCCAATCTTGCTCATCTCTGGTTTTTTATTTAGGGTCAAAACTATCCATCCCAGCTTAACTGCGGTACTTCAAACTATGTTGCTGGAAAAATCGGCTCTTATATATTCAATATGTTCAACAGATTACATTTGAGTGTTCTAGCAAGCAATAGGAAGAGGAGATTCAGATTCACTGTGGAAGGATGGCTATGTAGTAGAAGGACGGTGATAGCAACAGTTTAAGGTTGGGCAGTGACAATCAATTGAGGATGATAAGACATCTGCCCAAACCCCCTAAGGCAGAGGTCCCCAACCTTTTGGGCACCAGGGACCGGTTCCATGGAGAAAGGTTTTTCCACGGACCGGAGGATGCGTGGTTTTGTGTGTTGCCTGATCCCACTGATGGGGCTTTGCTTATTTGTGCGGACCGGTTGCTGGCATGCCTCGGCCCGGTACAGGTCCACGGACCGGGGGTTGGGGACCCCTGCCCTAAGGAAAGCCCGGAGTGCTGGCATCCAGAAGGTCTTTACCAAAGCAGAAAGTTGGCTATTTTGTATTGCATATAGAAAATCCAGAACACGGGCATATAAGTGGATTGTATGTATGGTGCTTTGAATAAGCTCAAAACTCCAGAAGGAGCGATGTGACAACCAGAATGGGCATCTACATTGGCGCTAAGCAACAGCTAAGAAAAACAGTATTGCTAGATTCTTGATGCTTTCATCCAAGACACCAGCTTTCAGCCCCAATTTCTAAATCTACAAATGCCACACAAACTGGGCACTCAAGTGAATGGATTTTACTCTATTTAGAGTAAATGTACCGCAGTCACTAGGATTTAAGACAATCATAACTAACAAAGGAACAACTCTATTCAGTCAATCTGCTCTAAGCTAAAACTGGATCAACACGTTGTTTGCTAAAGCATGTTTTGCTTACCCAGTCAATTTACTAACTAATTTAATATTAGTTGGGTTCATAGGTAATCTTAAGGCAGAACGAAACAAAGCACGTTATTCCAAAAATGGGATTTTGAACTCAGACAAAATCTATAGTCATAATGGTGGTTACAAGTTGTAAAATAAAGTCAGAACTCCTTTAAAATTAAATGTTTAAATAGATATTCCACTAACTAATATTTTTATTATTATTATTTTTTGTTCTCAGGTTTGTGCAGAAGAGAAGTCCCCAACTCTTGCTAATTTGGCTCACATGATGTGTTTATACAGTACGCACAGTTACTCCAGAGACTGCTCTAATTGGATTAACGTAGTGTGCAGATATTTGCATGATTCATTCTCGGAAACAACTTTTAATCTGATAACATACCTTGCAGAGGTAATCATTCTTCGTACATTAGGTATCTTTTTCAGGTATTGGATACTATTCTCCGTCTGAAGTTGCACATTTTGCTTTCTCATATTGTAGTGTTACCAAATGGATCTTCCCAGTTCTAGTTTGACACCTTAACCAGTATACTACAGGGGCTTTTCAACTTCCAAATATACACGTCTAATGTTATACATCAAATAAGACTTAGCTTATTGCATGTGAGGGCAGGTCCATTAAAGACATAGGTCAGTGATGGCGAACCTTTTAGAGCAGTGGTTCTCAACCTTTTTAATGCCGCGACCACCAACCGGTCGTAAGTCGAGGACTAAACTGGTCGTAAGTCGAGGACTACCCAACCGGTCGTAAGTCAAGGACTTTCCCTGCCCGGGAGCGCCGCACATGCGTGGTTCCGCCCCCTGCGCCGGCCGAGGCGTAGCTGGCAAGCGGCAGAGAGGGAGCAGATCGACCACCAGCTGGCCCAGCTCAAGGGAGGTAAGGCACCCACCGGAAAAGGGGGGGAAAAATGGCGGACAGCCTTGCTTGGTGACCCCCGTGAAATGGTCGATCGACCCCAAATGGGGTCGCGACCCATAGGTTGAGAACCGCTGTTTTAGAGACCGAGTGCCCAAACTGCAATCCAAAACCCACTTATGCATCGTCAGGTGCCGGGTGGGCGTGGCTATGGTAGTAACAGCAGACTGGGTGGGACTAAAAAGTTCAATCAATCAATTCCAACTTTGCAAGATCTTTTTTTTCCCCGTGAGAAGTTGAAATTGACTGATTGATTGAACCTTTTTTTTTTGTACACGGCGGCGGAGGCCTAAAGCGAAAAGGTTTTATAAAACCTAGCCGAAGGCCTAGGACTGGGGCGACGGCGTGCGTGCCCACAGAGAGGGCTCTGAGTGCCGCCTCTGGCACCCGTGCCATAGGTTCGCCACCACTGACATAGGTTATCTAATAGCTTGCTACTTTGCATTCAATGTCATTGGATATTTTGGATAATCCATTTTACGCATCTGTTTTTAGCTCTTAGAAAAGGGGATCTCCAGCATGCAGCAGTCTTTGCTGCAAATCATTTATAGCCTTTTGAGCCACATTGACCTGTCCAGAGCACCAGTGAAGCAATTCAATTTGGAGATCATCAAGATCATTGGCAAATATGTTCAGGTGAGTAATTTTAAGGGACACGTTTGAAAATGTCATTATCTTTCCATTTAGAGGAATGGATTTGGTGTTCCTCTGAACCAGGGTGTGATTTTTTTTAAAAAAATGTTTTATTCATTTTTTATTATTACAAAACATAAGTGCTTAGTAAACAATGTGATGTCCGGGTCCATTTGTTGCTCGATAGTACATCTTAGCTTCTTCAATACAAGTCTGTTCAATACTACACAATTCAATGGTTTTTTTTTTCCTGATCCTCCTTCCTTCCCATATTGTTTTCATTTTCCCAACACTACGCAAATACAGTTCTTGCTACTATTGATACATACAAAATTAGATGTACACATCCTCATCATATTTTTTCTAGTGTTGTACAAATAATAATATCAGCTTGTAACCTCTTTTCTAACCAGTTTATATTTCAATCGTATTTGCAATTAAAGTCTCCTTGTTAAATCAATATCCTGTTTTTCAGGCTCTCATTTAAGTTTGGTTTAACATCAATATTTGGAATATCTTTGCCAGTTATTATTTTCTCAAAATTAGTTACATTTGTTTAGCTAAGAATTTCATTTATACAAGCCGTCCTAGTGTTTTCATATTTCCCATATCAAAAAAAGTGCTATTCTAATTATAAATCGTATCTTTCTTATTGTAAAAGTCTGTTTATATCTAAGGGTTATCTATTCTTTTAACCATATTCAAACAGATATTTAATCATATAATGCCCCCTCTGGTAGGTTAGATCTTCTGTTTTTTAAGTCTTAACTCTAGCTTTCTTCCTTTGCCAAATAGCTTTTCCAGACCAAGGCAATTAAATTGCCAAAGAATTTTTCCTCTATTTTTATGGATGCTGCTTGAAATGGGAAAGAGAATTTAAGTAGGGCATTTTTGAAGTAGTTCATTGAAAATTTAATCCCTGGCAGATATTTAAGCTTGTTAACTGATGCCTTTTCTGAAGGTGAGGGGCATATGTAGATGGTTTGATTACCATTTTTAGTACTGTTCATCAAAAAGTCCTTGTCGCTCTCTGAGCTTGCCATTTAGTTCCCAAATATTTCATTACCAGGCTAGGTAATACCATCAGCGGGACTTCGGTTGAAGCATCTTGTTCTGTTCTTCTTTAGCTTATATATGTCTTGTGTGCCGGTGTGGTCAGTTGGTTGTGTGATTGGCCATTCATTTAGTGCAGGGGTAGACAACCTTGGCTCTTTTATGACTCGTGGACTTCAACTCCCAGAATTCCTGAGCCAGCATGGCCCAGTTTGGAAACCTCTCCCTTTCCCCTCAGCATGGCTGGCTCAGGAATTCTGGGAGTTGAAGTCCACGAGTCATAAAAGAGCCAAGGTTGCCTACCCCTGGCCTAGGGCCTAGGCCGCTTTATGACTCGTGGACTTCAACTCCCAGAATTCCTGAGACAAAATGGCTAAGCATAGAAACCTCTCCCTTTCCCCTCAGCATGGCTGGCTCAGGAATTCTGGGAGTTGAAGTCCACGAATCATAAAAGAGCCAAGGTTGTCTACCCCTGGTTTAGTGCTCTATTTAAAATCTGAGGGTCTGATTGGTTCCGTTGTTGATTGGTCATTCAAATGGTCTGGTTTCTTAAGGGTTCATGTGCTGGATTTAAATCAATATGCTTGTTAATTTCTCCTTTTATAGAATATCAGGCTTCAATAAATTCACAGCATACAAACACTTAAGAAACCAGACTATTTGAAGCTTTTATATTGGGGTTTTTGCTTCTTAATCAATACTTCAGCTACAGAAGTTCCTGACAGTCTGCATAATCGTGGTACTAAAATGAAATCTAAATCAGCAGAAATGCCAGATGCCGCCATTAGGTTTTTAGTGAGAGGGGAAATAAGGATATTTAAAGTATCCACTTCTGGATTTACTTTTAAGAAAAAGCAGAGGATTATAAATTCATTGTTTTAAGATTTTTGACTTTGTTAAAAAAAAATGTAACCATAATTTTCCATTTTGACTAAACCATTAGCAGTGTTTCTCAACCTTGACAATTTTAAGGCATGTGGACTTCAACTCCCAGAATTCCACAGCCAGCATTGCTGGCTGTGGAATTCTGGGAGTTGAAGTCCACATGCCTTAAAATTGTCAAGGTTGAGAAACACTGCATTAGAGCCTTCTTGATTGAGCCAGGTTCTAAAAAAGGAGCTATTTGTTGGGGAAATGCTCATTATTGAACTTTAATCTGGATACAGTATTATGAAAGGGCTTATTTTTGTTGTTAGGATAAATCACGCGGTGATAAAAGGGAGCAGTTAATGATAACTCTTTTTCAAATGTTATCAAGTGGAACCAATCACCCAGCAACTTAAAAACAACACCTCCTGTGCGGATGCTTTTTTTTTTTTTAATTTTCCTTCTCATCCCATTTTCTGACCTTTCAATTGGATATATTGTTTTGAATTTCATCATAAAATAAAGCAAATGCACTTAGCCAATTCTCTTCCTGTGGCGTGGCCCTCTTCCTCTGATTATTAATGGAGAACTTGGAATCTGACACACACACACACCCATGTACTTATCCTGAAATTAAGCAACTGAAGCAGCCTTTCTACCTAAGATTAACTTAACTCCAGTTGTCTGTTGTGAAATTGCTATTCATTTAAACCAAGTGACTGTAAAATAACTATGAGAAAGGCAATTAGGTTCCAAGTGCCGGGTACAACGCTAAATACTTTAGCTTGCATAATTGACATTCTCATACTTGTAAGCAGTAAAGTGCAGGCCTGTGGAAATTCTTTGAAAGACATATTTTGGAATGTGCAGGAGTATATGCAAAGCACCTCTTTAAGAATGGGGCAGCTGTGCATGCACACATATGCAGAAAAACTTAGGAGTACCTTAAGCAGCTGTGAAGATGAAAAGAAATGTAGTTATTTAACAACAAAAAGAGGAGCTTCATGCATTTTATATTCTGGGAGAAGTTTTTTTTCCTTGAGAATCGTAGAATCACAGGGCTGAAAGGGACCTGGCAAATGGACATTTATATATGTTAAAAATTCATTTGTTGACTTCACAAAAATGTAACAGCTTTATATTAATACCTCAAATGCTGTAGATTTTTGTATTTTTAAGTTATTACTGTGATTACATGTGTCTCTGTTCCTGTCTTTATTAATAGAGTCCCTACTGGAAGGAAGCGCTTAATATTTTGAAATTGGTGGTATCCCGTTCAGCCAGTCTGGTTGTACCAAATGATATTCCAAAATCTTACGGCGGTGACATAAGCTCTCCCGAAATTTCGTTTACCAAAATTTTTAACAACGTCTCCAAAGAACTGCCTGGGAAGACCTTAGATTTTCATTTTGACATATCAGAGGTAAAAGAGTTTTTAAAGTAAGGTTTCAGATTTTTTGCATACTTAATTTTCTTCTAAGTCAGGCACGTCTCACCTGTGGCCCACCGGCTGCATGTGACTGCTAGTAAGGCAGCCCCACAATATTGTAAACTTTTAACTTTATTGTGTGATTTATATATATGTATATTTAATATGCAGCTCAAAACCGTTTCTCTTCATTCAGTGCAGCCCAGGTTAGCCAAAAGGTCAGACACCCATATTTTAGGCCAGACATGTCAAACACCAGGCCCGGGGGCCAGATGCGGCCCGCGAAGTGGTTTCATGTGGCCCGCGAAGCCATCCTGGAAACAGTGAAGGAACGGCTCCCACTGCCTTGGCCCTGGTCCAGGCCGGCCGGGGGCCAATGTACAATTTTGTGGTGGCCCTCTATGCTGAAACGCATTCAGTCTTAGCTCCATAAGACCCCCCCCCCCGCATGGCTTGAGGGGAACGGTGAGGCTCCTCCAGTGGACCATGCCTTGGCACTTGCCCTGGTCCCACCCCCTTCTGCCAGAGACCCTCAGATCTGTCCCACTCATGCCCAGGCCCCCACAGGCACCCTACCCACCCAGTAGGCCACACCCACTCCATCCACGCCCACCCAGTAGGCCGCACCCACCCTGGCCACACCCACCCGGCCCCCTAAGGGCAACCGCAATGCTGATGCAGCCCTCAATGAAATTGAGTTTGACACCCCTGTTTTAGGCTGAAATTAGGGGTGTGCACATACAGGAAAAAATGGGTTGTTTTGAGCTCAAAAGAAAACATCCTATCCAGAAGACCTTTAAGTTGCCTTCATTTTAACGGAAGAAAATATAACAATATCACTATTCGGTATTTCGAAACAATGCTTGAACGATGGTTTCAGCCAAAGAAAGAGTGGGAACAGAGAGAAAGCTTCTTGTTCCCTTCATTTCATTTCAGGATCCCAAGATCCTGAAATAAATCCTCAATCCCATAAATAAATAAATAAATAAATAAATCCTCAGGTTTGCAAAATTCTATTGTTAATGCCTTTGTCCATAAAAGAGAAATTCTAGTACAGTGGTGGCGAACCTATGGCGCGTGTGCCAGAGGTGGCACTCAGAGCCCTGTCTGTGGGCACGCGCACCGCCTCTGCCAGCAGCTTGCGCAGGTCCATTAGGCCGCCGCCCGGAGCAGCAGCCCCACCCAACACAAAAGAGGCGAAGCAGCAAGCTGGAGTAGAGGTGGTAGAGCATGCCCACACCCAGCATGCCAGAGGCCATCCCAAGCAGGGAAAGCCAGATCCCCATGGTCCCCCAGTCCCAGCTAGGATTGCGTGCCTCCCCCACATCTATGCTGGGCCTCCTGCCCACCGCCCCACCCACCAGAGATCCCCTGGATCTCCCCCAACCCTGCCCGGCCCCCACAGGCGTCCCCCCCATGAGCAACATCGAGGTGGCCATGCCCACCTAGTCTGCCGTGACAACTGCAGCCACGCCCACCCAGTGGGCCACGCCCACCCAGTGGGCCACGCCCCCATGCCCCCCCTGAGGGCACCACAGTGCTGATGCGGCCCTGGCACTTTGAGATAAATAAGTGGGTTTTGGGTTGTGGTTTGGGCACTCGATCTCTAAAAGGTTCGCCATCACTATTCTAGTATTTCTAGTGTCTGTTTCTAGCCAGCCATGAAGGGCTATCAGCAGCTGATTTACCTCCCCCAACCCCCACATCCCTTTATGCAGCTTGCCATTAGTTGGCTGTCCCCCCCCCTAAAAAAAAGCAGCATTTTATGCCTGAGAAAATAAGAAGATTGGTGAAAGAAATGAAAAGGTCCTCGCAAAGAGAATGTTCTCACCCTGGAAACGACAAAAAAAAAATCTTTCTCCACTACTGCAAACATTTACCACATTAATATGTCATATAAGCCTGGATATGATGATGTATAGATCATAGTTTGTGACTTTGCATGCTCTATGGGCCTTTCTGGTTGTTGCACACTGTATGCACAGCATGGTAAACAAACTCTGCCTTACAGACCTTTGTGGAATTGGGTAATGCGTTTGACCTGAAAAATATATTTTGTCTTCATTTTATAGACACCAATTATTGGGAACAAATACGGCGATCAGCACAGCGCAACGGGTAGGAATGGCAAAGCTAAAGTCATTGCTGTTACAAGAAGTACATCTTCCACTTCCTCCGGATCAAATTCTAACGCTTTGGTTCCTGTGAGCTGGAAGAGGCCACAGTTATCTCAGGTGATCTATTGCTTAAACCTTAAAATGCAGACAGCATCTCTTTGTAGCAAAAGAACACAAACACCGTGGAAATATTTATAAGTATTTTGATTTCTTTTCCAGCGACGGACAAGGGAGAAACTAATGAACGTATTATCTCTTTGTGGTCCAGAATCAGGAATTCCCAAGAACCCTTCTGTGAGTAATTTTAAATTCCTGAAAGAAACGTGAATCCATCAATGAAAGAAATTTCCATACTAAAGTTGGTGAATTATTATTTCACTGTCCTAAGAATTTAGGACAGTGATGGCGAGCCTTTTAGAGACCGAATGCCCAAAAACTGCCCCCACCCCCATCCCCGCTCCCCCCTGCCCGTTGGGCCACCCACCACCTCCATGGCCCGCCACAGATCACCCAGGCAGCCCAGCAGCGCCATGGTGGCCACGCCCTCCGCCCACACCCTGCAGCATCATCTGCGTGCAATGGGACGCAAGGGTGGAGTCTTGTCCCCGCTGCCTGGCTACCATGTCCTTGGCTGCGCTGCTTCGCTTGGGCCGTGCCCAGGGGCTGCTGGTGAGGAGGGGGCCATGGGAGGAGGCGGGGCTGGGACGACGGTGCGTGTGCCCACAGAGAGGGCTCCGAGTGCCGCCTCTGGCACGCGTGCCATAGGTTCGCCACCACTGATTTAGGAACTAGAAAGCTTTTACATTGTAACAGAAGGTCTTGTTAGTGATTCATGGCATTTAAACCTAATTCCACAAGCTCCTGTCCTCTTAAGAGGCAACATCTGTAAACATCCATATTGGTACTCTTAATTTTACTTACGCTTACCTCTGTTACTGATGACACTGTAGGTTATCTTTTCTTCTAATGAAGACTTAGAAGTTGGGGACCAGCAAACGAGTCTAATCTCGGCCACAGAGGAAGTAATTCAAGAAGAAGAAGTGGTTGTAGAAGATAACACAAGTGAACAACAGTTTGGAGTTTTTAAGGATTTTGACTTTTTAGATGTTGAGTTGGAAGATGCAGAGGTAAGGCCGTGTAAGGGTAGCTTCATTCAAGTCTTTGCTTCAAGATTCTGTCCTTTTCCTTTGTTGTAAGCTTGTATTGTAATTAATCAAAGCACTAAAAAAAAAAAATCCAGGCGTGACATCTCTTGCACTGCCTGCCTGGAAAAAAAAGCACTGGGTCCATAATTTTATATTCTGCTGCTTGGCATACCATAACCTTTTTCTTTCATGCTAGCTATTCCCTTTGCTTTTTATTTTGATCTAATCTGATATGTAGAAATATGAACATTATCTGACATTTTGGAAATTTCCTGGTGAATTAAAGAGGGTATAATATATAATTGAGAATACAACTGTAGTTTGATTTATGTGTGGCCTTTGGCTGTAATAATAATAAATTGAAATTGAAATACAACGGTAGAAAGTCAAATGAAACTATACCCAAACTTGGAAGTATAGCATATGGTATCACACAAAACTCAACTAATACTGCACAATGTATATTGACATGAGTATGTTGAAATTGATTTGATTTTCAGCCATTCATATTGTGTCTGGGTTCATGGTGCATTTATCATCTTTTATCTGCATTTTTCTCTGTTTTTAAATAGTAAAATGTAATAACTGTCATTTATAATATACAGTTGCAGTGCATGGAAATATCCAAGGGTGGATATTGGGGAAAGCTAGAACCGTCCTTCAAATGACACCATCCCTATGGAGGTGGAAGGGGTATTCACACATAATTTAGTTTGTAACTCTGGAAACAAAACTCCTATAAGATGAGGAATTTTAGCAATTCTCGAGTTCCTCTTTCTACCAAGAAATTGGTTCTTTTCTCTCCTATTTCCAGTAATGCAAATGACTGCCAGAACTGTAATCCATTCCACATCTTGGTCTCAGCACTATCAACAACACTTCCAACTGTTTGGCATATCTCTGAAGCATTTCCCATATGCTTCAGTGGCTCAGAAAAGAGTGGGACAAATGCAGTGGGGTGTTTTAGGTGTTCTGAAAATGATGACACCGCATTTCAAACCCTCTCCCCTCCCTAGCCAGTGATCTCATTCTGGATGATTTTGAGTTAGTGCTAATTAAGCCGTTCTACCTGCAGGATTGCTTTTGTGACCATAAAAATACCTATCATGAATCAAGAGTGCATTTAAATGCTAAGCATCTGGGAAGGCCACCCAAAGAGGAATGAAAACCATAACAGCTAAACATGCTTATCAAGACTGATTAGCTCATATGCTTATGCTTTCTTGCACTGAATAAAATTTACATGCTGTACATTTCATCAAGTACATGTAGATAAAGTCCATTTAAAATGTTCGCTGCAGTTTACTTTCAAGCCGTTCTCAAAGTTAGTTGTAATATATATATATATATATATATATATATATATATATATATATGTTAACACTGAAAAATGTGCCATGCCCATCTGTTTTAAGTGTTTGTCTCATGATGTTTTTGCACCAATTTTTCTAAAACCAATTAAATAGTAGGGGAGGGGGGGGCTTGACCAAAAAAAAAAAGTTTTTCCAGAGCTTGAATCGGTCTTCTACTCCCAGCAAGCATATGCAATATAAAATAGCCTCCATTACGAAGTTATCTGTAAGTGTTTGTCCTCGTTCTAATTATGTGTGTTTTTCTTTTTGCGAACCAGGAGCTGCAGGTAAGTTGCAGCCTGGTGCAGTGGCTTGTGTCATCTGTTGTCATCTGTAGTGTACTTGTCTGTCTGTGTGCTTGAAAGTCAGGGGATCTTAGTACTGCAAAGGAATAGATGGCTGTAGACAATGTTAAGCCCGTTTAGTTCTGAAGATGAGTCTGTAAAAGAAAATATTGAGAAGAATTCTGTCGCCAATGTCCGATAACGGATATGGCACAAGAAGAAGAAGAAGAAGTGTGTTTAAACCCTTTAAGGGAAAACCACGTTGATAAAATTTAAATATACAATTAGCTTGAAGGGCTGGTTGAGACTCTGCTCTCAGTTGAGTTCAGTATTTGTGTGGCTTTGTTTTGCTGTAGTTCATTTCAGTTCTCAAGAGTAGCCTAAACCCTTTGGAATAAACCTCCTTCTCGTTACAGGGCGAGAGCATGGACAACTTCAACTGGGGAGTCCGTAGGCGTTCACTGGACAGTATTGAGAAAGGGGACACGCCCTCTCTCCAAGAGTATCAGTATTCAGGCAGCACTCCCAGCTTGAACCTGGCCAATCAAGAAGACACGGATGAATCCTCAGAAGAAGAAGGCCTGAGCGCCAGTCAGATACTGTCACGCTCCCAAATGGTAAAACCACAGATTTTTTTTGCATCAAAATAGCAGCCCTTGGATTAAAACCTTTCAAGGCTGCCTCTTGGGTTCTCATTTGCAAGGAAGGGTGGGCATCTTATGCGTTTGGGGCACAATACTAGATCCTCTGTTTCTAGATTTGGAATAGGGGTTACCCACGAAATGTGAATGACACTTGTCTTAAGTCAGGGGTGTCAAACTCAATTTCATTGAGGGCCGCATCAGCATTGGGGGCCGGGTGGGTGTGGCCAGGGTGGGTGCGGCCTACTGGGTGGCTGTGGATGGAGTGGGTGTGGCCTACTGGGTGGGCGTGGCCAGCTCTACATTATTCGCGTCAAGGGTGCCTGTGGCGGCCTGGGCAGGAGTGGGACAGATCTGAGGGTCTCTGGCAGAAGGGGGGTGGGACCAGGGCAAGTGCCAAGGCATGGTCCACTGGAGGAGCCTCACTCTTCCTCTCAGGCCATGCAGGGTGGGGGGGCTTATGGAGCTAAGACTGAATGCGTTTCAGCATACTGTAGATGGCCACCACAAAATTGTACATGGGCTCCTGGCCGGCCTGGGCCAGGGCCAAGGCAGAGGGGGCCGTTCCCTCACTGTTTCCAGGATGGCATCCCGGGCCACATGAAAGCACTTCGCGGGCCGCATCCGGGCCCCGGGCCTTGTGTTTGACATGTCTGTCTTAAGTGCTTGCTTCTAATAAAGTAAGAAATATCAGAATGGGATTTAGAATAGGTTTTATCAATAGAGGATAAATAAGGAGGTTCTTGAGTGTATATGTCATTGTAAAGCTAATGTGCCAATATATCTTGGAAAGACATCTGGTATTTCAAAGTAAACTTCTGTCATTTTTATAACTGGGCGATCATACTGACCCTAGAAAATTTACATCTACCCAAACTCTTAAGAAATAGAATGTAAAGGTTTAAGTGGAATACAATAACATTTAATTTGATTAGTAATTAAATGCCCGATTTATTTGAAATCACGTTGGATTAGGGTTAGGATTAGCTAAACTAAATTAAAAACAAGAGAATGATTTGGCTGTTTCTGATGGGCAATTTGATTAACCTTTAAAGTGTTTAGGAATTATTCTGGGTTTAAATAATACACTGATGATAACAAAAGTCTTTTTGCATTTTTGGAATCTGAGATTCTGCAGTGAAAGAAGAATGGTGACATATAGTTAATTCAGTATTTGGGGCAGCAGAGGCATCTGTTCATATAGGTTGAGTAAAACTAGTTGTGCTAAAACAGTACTTCTGATGAGTTAGCTAATGCACGTTCTTCATCAGTATTATATTATCGTTGCCCTTATGAGAATTCCAATTCTTAATATTATTTTTAAGCATAGTAGACAGACTCAAGATGCAGTCTAGTTCAGAGGCCCCCAACCTTTTGGGCACCAGGGACCGGTTCCGTGGAAAAAGGTTTTTCTGTGGATCAGAGAGTGCGTGCTATCTGCATCCCACAGATAGGGCTTCACTTGTTTGCATGGCCCAGTTTCTGGCATGACGTGGCCCGTTGCCGGTCCACGGACCGGGGTTTGGGGACCCCTGGTCTAGTTAATAGAAAGGGTAGCCTCATGTCTGCATTTTGCTTTACATTTACGTGTGAACATATGTTGAGTTTATTTTGTGAAACATGAATGGATGTTTTTTTTTTGTCTCAAGCTAAACAGCGATTCGGCTGCCGACGATGCCACACCAGATCACATCAACTTGTTGCTGCAATCTCAAGATTCCACTAGCAGTGTTGGAATGGAAGAGGTGCTTCAAATCAGAGCTGAGACTCCAAGTTTGGAGGTTGCCTCTCTAGATAATGCTAACAACACGCTGCCTGAGGTGGGGAGAAATGTGGGCTCGAGCATGGCTGATCTGTCCTCTTTCTAGCGCTGTATTTTCATTCTGTCTATAAGAATTTTCATCGTGCTGATTACATAATTTAACTTCAGTATTTCTAACCTGTTGTGGTGGCTGAAAAATTGTTTACTGGAAATGATTTTGTTTTGGGTTGGTAGACTAAAGATGTTCACGTCACAGGTTAAGAAAGTTTTGAAGTTCTTTTAATGAATTGGGGTGCAGAAGAGCAATTTGATAAGCAGGATGGTTCTGGGTCCATTTTCTTCCTGGGATGCTCTCTTTTCTATGATCCTTCCTTCTGCCTCTAATGCTCGCTTTGCCTCTTTGTGATTGGTGCTTTTGATTGGGATTTGAACCTCAGGCCAGCTTTGTTAGCAGCTGGTCAATTGAGCGGTCTTGACCAAGCCCTCGGTGTGCTAGTGGCATGATTTTAAAAATGGAAATACATATATGGAATGAGCAAGATTCCCAGCTGATTAAAAAAAATCAGTGAGTATGTTACGTATGTATTTGCCATTTCCAGCAGAAACTCAGAGCCGTGGTCTTCCTTTTACATTTTTTTAAGTGTGTGTGTGTGTGTGTGTGTGTTTGTAATTAAGTCTTTCAGCTCTTAAGCATTCATAGCCCTTTTCTCTAGTACCTTTGAAGTCTAAAATAAGTACCATGGCTTTACAATTGTCTTAAGTTGGATTCTTGTTTTGAGATAGATTAAGTGTATGTGTGTTGTTCGAAGACATTCTTTTTGAAATATGGATATTATCAGCACTTCCTGAAATAGAATCATGGCCATGGGACTGAAGTCTGAATCCCTAGTCAAGAGAATTCTCATCCTGTTAAGATTTAGGGAAGAATTTTGCACAGTTTAAGAATGGGAAGTTTGAAAATTTCCAAAACAACATGTCAGCCCTTCCTGACTTAGGTCTGCTACAACATGTGATATATAAATCATTCTAAATGTATATAAATGCATTATATATAATTTGGCTTGCATTTGTTACATTTTACGTACGTGCATTACGGCACATAACCCACATTGTCATTTTTGTGATCTTTATGTAATCACTAAACATATTTCATTGTACCAAAGTGGAGGATCTGCAGACCTCCAGATACTAGACTTCAATTGCTGTCATCCCTTACTATTATCTATGATAACTAGAGCTGGCAGGGAAAGGTAAACGTGTGTGGTGCCCAAAGATGCAAAATCATTTAGGATTATTATGTTACCTTTGCACTCAACCAATTACTATTCATAAACCATTTAAAGAAATGGCATCAAACATCAGACAGTTTTCAGCACAAAAGTTAATGCTTCAGACAGTTCATTTTCCTCCATTTACTGAATAACAGTGAGATGATGATGATGATGAGTGCATATATGTGTTGTAGAGATGTGTGTGTGTGTGTGTGTGAGAGAGAGAGAGAGAGAGAGAGAGACTGTCAGCAATCTTTAATTTCCTGGAGTGTGCCACAGGCTCTGTTTTGGCAGGAGAAATCAAATATTGAATTTTTCTCCTTGGGTCTCTGTAGTCCTCTGCAGTCACTTGTATGAGATTGTGAAATGCAATCTCTTTGGGAACCTGCAGAAGATTTATTAAAGGAAAATGTGTACCTTCAGTATCTACTATAAATAAATTCACTTCCACTGACTGCAATAGGAGGATTAATTTTATTTTATTTATATGGCCTCTCCCCTCTCTCCAAAGCACACAGAATTTAAAATTAAAGTAATATAAATACGGTAACTTTAAAAACAACAACAACATAAAAGCAAAGAAAAAAGAAATGGTAGCCTAAAGTTGAAAAAAAAAAACATCTTAAAATAACAATACATCACCTAGATCTTACTAACTTCTGACTCCAGTGTCTGGTCAAACCAGGGGGTCTTCATCATTTTCCAGAAGGCTAGTAAGGAAGGGAGACATATTTCAATGTTTTTCCTCACCCCTAACACTCATCTCAAAATCCAAAATGAGCAAGTGCTGCTCATATCTTCTTCTATCCCATTGTTCAATCATTGGCAAGTTGTGTTCTGTTTTGTTTTAGAGTTGTTTAGCATTTCTACCGCACAGCACTCCCAATTTGATTAGGTAGTAAATATACATACAGTTAGTCACCTTAAGCTCTAGCTGTTTTCTTTCATTCTTTCATCAAAAATTCATCTCACTGAATTCAATTGAGCTTAATTCTGAAGAGATGTATAAGAATTCAGCGTTAGAATTGAATAATTTTGACCAAGGAAATAATATTCGTATTTTTTTTTCAAAACTAAAATTTTGAAAAGGAGATTTTAAAATGACAAGCTACTTAGAGTAATATGCAAAAAAAAAATGCTATACTGGATATACAAATGAATCCAGCTGGTGTTTTAATTAAAAGAGATATACTAATAGCAAAAGAGTAGCCTGGATAATTTTCCTATACTGGAGACGAAAAAAGACTTCAAAAGTTTTGAAGAACTTTGTGAGAAGGAACAAAACAAAAACAAAATGAAAAAAAAATTGAGTTCTAGGACATGACAGGATTAAATATCAAGATTGTTAAAAAGTTAAAAGGAATATAATGTTGGTTTATTTGATCAAAATTAAAATAGATAAATTATCTCTGGTAAATCATTTCTAAATTTGATACCTAAATTTGGTTTCTAAAATTTTATTCTTTTATTTTAATATGTATTGGTTTTATCTCCATAATTGTAATGTTTAATAACATTAATATTTAAAAAAACTAGCTGTACCCAGCCACGCGTTGCTGTGGCTTAGTCTGGTAAAAGCGTGTGTTGTTTTTACGTCCAACAGATGGCGCTGTTTTGAAAAAAAAGCATGTTTTACCTGTCACAGGTGTGACATCTATATAATATACAGTAGGTATATAAAAACACGCGCGTATTCGAATGCAACGTTGTGTCAAATTTCAAAGCAATCGATGAAGAACCTTCGGAGATTTAAGATTTTGAACAAACGAACATTTACATTTTTATTTATATAGATGTATTGGTTTTAATCTCCATAATTGTAATGTTTAATAACCATTAATATTAAAAAAATAAAAATATTGAACAAGGAAGGGCTTTTTAACCCCAAACTGTAAAACATTAAATGGCATTTGTTTTCAGAGCAAAATAACATTGTTTTCAGAGCAAAATAACATTGTTTATACTTTTTTGAATTTGTTAATTTAGAATAACTGATGCACAAATCTTTTCAAATACTTATAGATATAGATATATATTTCAAAATGAAATATAAAAATTGTTTCTTCTTCTCCAGGATGGCTGTTCATCAGTGAAAGATGAACAGAGTACAGCTAGTGAGGATACTGGATCAGTTGCTTTGCAAGAACAGTTTGAGTCCTTAGTCTGCCAAGATCCTTTAGAACTGGAAGAAGCTTCTGAGATTCAAGAGCATCCGACTACGGAGAGTTACACTGAATCAATTTTTGAAGAGGATGTAACTCTTGCACTGAAGGAGCTGGATGAAAGATGTGAAGAAGAAGAAGCTGATTTTTCTGGTTTATCCAGGTGAGATGTTTTATCTAGCATTTGATTTGAAGCCACCAACATTGCTAGTGCAGTAATCATGAAATTGTTTGACACAATTATCCTTCCCCCGGTTTTGGATACTGTCAGTGCCCGCCCACCTCCAGTTGCAGTCCCAAACCAGATCCTCAACCCATAGGCAAGCAATCCCAAATTGCTCCATTACTCTCAGGATATGCCCAAATTACCCCTTGGGTATAATAACCTCCAGTTTGCAAACCGTTATACCAGAGAGAGTTCACACGTTGAACTAATCTCAAAGTTGTAGTCCTGGCTTGTTGAATAAGTCATAATGGATGCATCCATCTACCTCAATAATCCGCAAAGAAACTACATTGCGCTGAAAATGTGGCGTGTTAATGCAAGTCGTATTCTCTCTCAATGTATTTTTTTACAAGATTTTATTGATTTTTTTTCTGACATACATATAATAATTTTTCAACCAACATGCTGTCTGGATTTAAAAATGCTAAAACATATTTAATTCCTAATCCTTCATTCTTTCCTCTAGCCATTGATAAAATAAGTCCCAAGTTTGGTAATATTCTGTTTCTTCTTTTTCTTTCAATCTCATAGTCAATCTGTCCATCTCTGCGCATTCCAGTATTTTGTTAATTATTTCTTCCTCTGGTGGCGTTCCTTCATTTTTCCAATATTGCGCAAATATTATTCTTGCTGCTGTTGTGATGTGTAAAATCAAATATAGGCTTTGTTTGTTCATCTTTTCTGGCATTATACCTAGTGGGGAAAAAAAATTCAGGTTTAAAGTCTACATGTTCTCCCAATATCTTTTCTAACCAAGTATGTATCTTTTTCCAATAATTCTTTGCTTTGTCACATGTCCACCATCTCTCAATGTATTCTTTTTTTTTTTAATTATTTTTTATTATTATACATCTTTCAAACATAAAATGCATTAACATACATACATTTCAGTTCTAACATTACACATTTTAAGTTATATAACTATTAATGCATACTTATAATACCATCCCGACTCTCCCCCCACCCCATTATCCCCCTCCCTTCCCCCCCCTTCCCCTCCCTCACTTCCCAGAACTGAACCCAGGGTTACCAAGCCATTATAATATCCACAACTTATCTACCATACTCTCTAATTTTAAAATAAACAACATCCTAATTTCTTTAACCCCCTTCATAACATTCATTCTACTAACATAAGAAATTTTTTTATTCATAACCTACATGATAATTTTTTATCTCATATCTCTTCTGTATATAAACTATCCATCTTTCCCATATTTTAATATATCTTTCCTGATATTGATCTTTCAAATACGTGGAGATTTTTGCCATCTCCGCCAGGTTAGAAACCTTATTTCTCCATTCATCCGTTGAAGGCAAGTTTTTTTGTTTCCAGTATTGAGCTATTAATAATCTTGCTGCAGTAATAAGATTTAACATCAAAGTCACTTCTTGAGTATTTAAATCTTCGGTTATCCCTAACAAAAATAGCTG